GGAATTATTGGGAACATTATTAATGCTTTTGGTACTTATCACCAAATTGCTTTTTGAAAGAGTTATATCAATTTATATCCCTATCATAACGATACCAGAGTTCCTAGGGTTTTTTTCACCCTGTAATACTGCATGTAATTAATTAAAAGTATTCACCAATGTGGGAAGTGGGCAATGATATTTCATTTTTTAAAATTAGTAGATGCATTATTACAAAAAAGCTTGAAATTTTTCTTGTTTATTAACCATGCATATTTCTTCCATAATTGTCTATTTTTGTTTATCCTTCATTTTTCTAAAAACATTTAATGTTTTTCTCATTGTTTGGAAAAGAACTCCTTATTTACAATAAGGACATTAATCTCTCATGTGTTTCTTTATCCAGAGTAATTTTAAAGAAATTTTGTCAATTAAATCTTCTCTGTTCTCTTCACTCCTCTGCAAAATGGAATCATTAGTTTTATTTTGTTTTAATCAGAATCTCATGAAAGCCAGGAATTGATTTTAAGAGCATGAACACTTTCTTGGTATTTACTCTTTCCATCCAAGATAGGGTGACTTCCCATTTATTCAAATATCTTCTCTATAAACTGTTTGTAGTTCCCATAAAACAGGTCAAAATGTTTCCTTAAAGATTATTCTGTTAATTTATATTTTTATTGTTACTCTGGATGAGCTATTTCTATCATGATAACTTCTGACTGCTTATTGTTACATATAGGAATGCCATTACTTTAAAAAATTAGTCTTAAGTATAGTTGTTTTACTTAATATTAATAAAATAATTTTAGTTTATTCTTAGGTTTTCTAGTTATATGAGGATCATACAACTAGTGTTTTCCCTCTTCATTAATGCTATTTTAGTTTACAATTATATTTCATATTTTGGATTTTCAGGACAATGTTGAAAATTTAAAGAAAGAGTATTTTTGTTTTGCTACCAATTCCTAGATACCTATCTAGATTCTTCTTTCTGTGCTCCCTTTCTATGCTCCCTTGGCTTGAGAGTTGTGACCTTTATCAACACTTTTTTCTTTTTTGTCAGATAAAACATATTCTACTAAAACAGACCATCTAGAGTATAGCATCCTCTCAAATAGAATATACATATATTTGTGTGTATAGAGAATCCTACATACCTATTTACATGTCCATTTTATGTAATCCAAGTGTTCTCGTTTAGAAGCCTGGGTAGCTTGTGGTGCATTAGTAGGAATGAGACCGCAGGAGGACCTTGGGGAATTATCTAGTGACAGCTACCAGAATACTGAAGCACTTCTCAGTATCTTCCCAAAGGATGGGATATCCTCTCCCAGGATGGGAGAGAATTCAGATGTTAAAGAGACACGAGATCTAATTTATGGAAAACCCAATGTGAGTCAACGCTTAGATGGAGCTGCCAAAAATAACTATAAGGTTCTAACTGCCTGAAGACAAACATAGGAAATGATGACGGTCGGTGTTCGCCAAGAACCTGACACATTGCAGGCTCGAGGCTAGGTGTTTTCGCACAGATTACTCATGTCGTTTTCACGACGACAGTTCAAAGAATCAAGAGAGAAACTGAAACTTAGTCCCTAACACGCAGCAGAGCAGGGGATGTGCTAGAGTTTTTACAAAGTGTAGGGTCTCAAGCTGAAATAGTATACCCCAGATGTGGCCTTATGTGCCACATCTAACAGTGAGGGAGGGAGTCCTTACATTGTATCGTGAAACATTTAAGGAACTAAACATTTTAAAGCTATCCTTGAAGGGCTATCACATGGGAGGGAAAACACTATGGATCTAGGGTGATCCAAAAACAATCAGTCTACTACTGTGATATGTATGACCCGCTTGCAGATTTCAATTACTATCTGTCTGCATGCGGATAATTGTGACCATTCATCACTCCAGCCCAGGCATTCCCTGGATGTCCTGTAGAGGGCAGACGCTCAGTCCCGGAGGTTAAGGGGGACCTCAAAGACCTTTCTGTGAGCACCGAATCCAATCATACGGACTAATCATAATCATTACTTTAACAAAATGTTTTGCGTGCTGATTATGTCCTGGCCCCTGAACGAAATATGGTGTATTCATTGAACACAATATTGGTCAAATTCTCCCACTAATCTTCCCAGTATGTGTGATTACTATGTTGTAGAGGATTAGAGTGAGACCCTCAGAGGTGAGTTAGTTCTCAAGCTATCCACCTGAAACCGGTATCCGAAGGGGTTATGGGACTAATAAGTCCAGCTGTAACTTTTTACCCAGGACTTTCTCATTTGCCTTTAAGACTGGCTGACTGGGGCAGATTTGAGGCATTGCCCTTCTGTCTCTGCATTTGGCTGCCTCTCTAACAATCTCTTTCCTTTCTGCTGCTCTAGGTCCCAGTGATTGTTTCCGCCGTGTGTCCAACAGATGAACTTGGGTTTGGTTACACAAACTGTAAATGGAGTCAGGTTCAAGCTTCCAGGTTCATCTGGCTCCGAAGGTAAGTAAGCTCTTTCTAGGACACAAATGTCACCGTTCCAGTGTGGGCAGATCAAGGTGGAAGGCAACACACCCTGAGGAGGCCCAGACATGAGGACCCTCTAGATGACTGATGTTTTCACAGATGCTGCCTCATTCCAGAAGCCTATCAGAATGATGCTTTTCAGTGAAAGAGATGTTCATTTTGTTCATGTTTTGAAAGGCACACACCAACGCTTCCATGGAACCGTAGGAGGACAACCTGTTTCAACACAAATCCCTGCCATGTTCCCGTTGAAGACTTTGGCCCACACAACTCCCTAAAAGCCATTGTTTTCTGGGTGTAGAGAAAACCCTTATTTTGAGGATACAAGGTTGAGGATGGCAAACAGACATACTTGCTAAGGTTAGGAATTGCAGAGTCTGCAGTCTGCATGCTAAAGACCCCGCTTTGGATGGTTCCCGAGGACCAGACTCTCGGGAATGGGAGCGGCCATATTGGCAGCCCGGCTGGGATGCTGCTGACTTCGGGATGCTCTTCCCCTCCTTTCTTGGATCTTCTTTCTTGGGCATTAGGCACTGGTCTTACTCATTTTTTGGGCCCCTGGGATTAGTCATGGTTCATTGACCATGGGGACTTTCTCCCTAACAGAAACTTTGCCACCACCTCTTGGGAGGAAACACAGAAACTGTGCTGTTTGCCCTAGCAGTTACTTTTCTCTGTCATGAGCATCAAAATGGCAAACAAACTTTCTGCCAAGAAGGATAGACTAGGTCATAAGTCAAAAGGAAAAAAAAAAAAAAACCAAAACAAATATATAAGTAGAGGTAAAATCATAAGATGCTCAGGGGAAAAGGATATCGAGAACAAAGTCAGGGTCAGGAAGAAGAAGGGTTTGAAATACATTCCATAGTTGTGTATTGATGTGGTCGAGTTTAATAATGCCAAGAACACCATTAAGTATTGAGGCAGAAAACAAGGTATACATAATGAGACATTGAAAGAAAAAGTATAGACAACATTTTTATTTGTTAGGGAACCAGACTGAAAGCTAAAAAAAAGAAATGAAAACAAATCATGCTGTAGACCTTTTTAAAATTTTCTGTCTTTGGGGCGCCTGGGTGGCTCAGTCATTTAAGTGTCTGCCTTCAGCTCCGGTCATGATCCTGGGATTGAGCCTCATGTAGGGTCCACTGCTCTGTAGGGGACCTGCTTCTCCCTCTCCCTTGGCCTGCCTCCCCCCACCCCTGCTTGTGCTCTCTCTCATAAACAAATAAATAAATAAATAAATAAATAAATAAAATTTCCTGCCTTTGGACAGTCTTTCTTTGGAGGAGTAGTCAGTAGTTTCATAATTGTGTGATTTCCAGGTGGGCTAGGAAGGCCCATCATGTGAAAGGGATCTCCCTCAGTAGCTTCTTGTTAATAGATGAAGGTCTATGCTTCAAGGTCTATACTGTGTGTTTATTTTTTTAAAGATTTATTTATTGGAGAGAGATTGAGAGAGCAATCGAGTATGAGGAAGGGAGGGGCAGAGGAATGAGGAAAGAGAGAGTCTTAAGCAGACTCTACTCTGAGCTCAGAGCCTGACATGAGGCTTGATCTTACAACCCTGAGATCACCTCCTGAGCCAAAACCGAGAGTCAGGTGCTTAACTGACTGTGCCAGCTAAACGCCCCAATCAAAGTCTGTATTTTGTAATCGAATCATGGGCACTTGACAAATCAACTATTATTAGCCATCTTTTCATGAATTCGTTTATCAGATTCTTTCCAATGGTCTTAGAAGAAAACGTGAAAAAGAAAGAGACAGGAGTGCTGGATGAATGCATGTTTCACAAACTTACTATAGAAATGCCAACATAGGGGCACCTGGGTGGCTCAGTGAGTTAGGGCCTCTGCCTTCCGCTCGGGTCGTGGTCCCGGGGTCCTGGGATCGAGCCCCGCGTCCGGCTCTCCGCTCGGTGGGGGGCCTGCTTCCTCCTCTCTCTCTGCCTGCCTCTCTGCCTACTTGTGATCTGTCAAGTAGATGGACAAATATCTTTAAAAAACAACAACAACAAAAAAAACTTAAAAAAAAAAAAAGAAATGCCAACATATACTACCTACTGAGTGCCTGCCATGGATGTGTCCCAAGTATTGCCCCAGTATGACTCCAAGAGCTATAGAAACCTGCTCGCCTGGACCCCTACTAGATTAGAGAAGAGGGGCTGTGAAGCCATAACCAGAAGGGAGGCTGTGAAGCCATAACCAGAAGGGAGGCTGATAGAAGAGGGTTCTTGCTTCTGCTTCCATGGAACTGCTTTCCACCCAAGATTTAGTGACCAATTCTGCCCCAAGACTCGCGAAATAGCTAGGTCCCAATTAAGTGTTTTGTTGTTGTTGTTGTTGTTGTTTGTGGGTTCTTGAAGTCTGTTTCAACAACTTTGCTTATTCACCTTTCTAGGATCAGTCTCCTTGCATCCTAATACCATGAAGGTGCTCCCTGCGCTGGACCTGCTTTCCAATTAGACAGTTACCAGGTGCTTCTGCCACCTTTCTAGGAATCCATCTGTGCTCTGTAGCCAGGTAATCATGGCTGTTTTAGACCATCTCTGATGCTGCCTGACTTCCTGGTGCTTAACCTAGTGTGTTTCTACAATTCTTTACCCTCCCAGACCTTTCTTCCCTGGATCCCTGATCTGCTTGGTTTCTGGGGCACCCCCAAGCCCTTCCCAAGTACAACAAATCTTGTCATTCAAGTTCACTCGGGTTATGAGCTAGAAATAAGTGTCCTTGAAATTCTGCTGAGTTCTCTGATAATTTAGGAAAACACTCTCTTATTGAAAACAAGTTTGTTTTTATTTCCAAACTTTGTAGTGAATTAATTTCTTTTTTTTTTTTTAAGACTTTATTTATTTATTTAACAGAGAGAGAGAGAGACAGTGAGAGAGTGAATACAAGCAGGGGAAGCGGGAGAGGGAGAAGCAGGCTTCCCACAAAGCAGGGAACTTGATGCGGGGCTTGATCCCAGGACGCTGGGATTATGACCTGAGCTGAAGGCAGATGCCTAATGACTGAATCACCCAGGTGCCCCTATAGTGAATTTCTTAAAGGATATTTTCCTATGACATTCTGAAAATATTTTGAATATAGAGAAATTAGTAACTTAAGCCTGAGAATTTACTGGAGTCTTGGAGAGGAATTAGCCCACAAATTCTCTTTTTATAACTTGGTTTTTGGAGAAATTTCTAATGCTTAAAAGTTATATATGGAAGCATTAATTTTTCCTTCCATTCTTCTGAACTTGATGGGGTCCTTTCTCCTACTCACAAATCAAATCCCTTCTCTTTACCTTATTTGATCCTAGTTTTGAAAACATGTAACCAACTGAACAAAAATCGAGCAAGAAAAACGTCAGAGAATAGTACAGCCTGTCAATTGATTTCGTGAAGCTTTGGAGCTGTCGTAACTACCCAGACTTTGAATTCTCATCTAGAGGGCTGCCAGCAATAACTTCGCCTGAACCATGATGTCTCATGATTTTCTTGTCTTACTCTTATATCTGCACGGAGGGGAATCGATGCAAGAAATGGTTAGAGCTTGTCCGTATGTATTTTAGTAGTTTTCCTCATTTATAGTTGTGTAAAAACATAATAGTTTTACTTGTTTTTTAAATGTGAGTTGAATTAAACAACAGAAGTGACCTGTGTGAGCATGAACAAACATTTGTGAGCTGTTACATTTACTGTACTTGGTGCCTTAACTTCATTCTCAACCAGACTTTTTCACTGCTTATTTCACTGCCTGAAATTCTGACAGTCAGGAATTTGTCTGGATAAGGAGCTCCCTATTTTTTTTTTTTTTAAATGAAAATCCTTACAGCAAGGTTAAGGAGGTGTGAGCTCTTCACACATTTATGAAAACTGGTTCCATCTGATTGTTTCCTGGTGGAGGAATGAGAGTTTTTCTTGGAGGAAAGGGAAGGAGCCACTTTGGAGAGAGAACTTAAGTTTGTGCAGGGCACTTGGAGAGTCCGTGGAGTGGGGTAAGAAGGTGCCAGAGAAAAACTTGTTTTCCTTTGAATGTTTGCTCTAGGCAGGTCCCAAGTAGAGTCATAGAATGCTCTAACAAAAGGCTGAGAGGTGGCGGAGTACCACTTCCTCATTTTATGTAACTCAGTTGCAGAGAGAGGAGGTGACTTGCCCAGCTTCAGAGTCAGCAGCAGAACTTGGATCTGAACCCACATTTCTTAACTCTCGTGTCAGCGCTCCTTCTCCAATATTCTGCTGCCTTCCAAAGTTAAGGAGGCACTCCTTTCCCCCTTGGATTTTCCGGTAGGACCCAGAACTTGGCAAGGGCTCAGGTCCTGCTGCTCCAGACCTTGCAGAAGCCACCAGAGCTCTCCTGGGAGAGTTTGGCACTCCTCAAGCCTTGTTTCCACTGGAAAATGAACTCTCAGTCCTAAATCACAAAGTGTTAACCCGCTTTTGGTTTACAACCTACTCCTGGGTCAAGGACTGCCCACGCTGTGCAAAGATAGAAGCACTCACCCCCAGGTGAGGAAGGGTCATCTGACTTCTGAATGACTGTAAGTCATAGCGCTCGTGTGAGAGGCCTGTGAGCCTCCCTGGCCTTGTTTCCTTCACCCCGAACAATAACTCACAGGAGGGTCCAAGGAGGAAATGGCCATTGGACCTCGCCCTCTTCCACACAGTTTGTGACAAGCCCAGTGATGACCTGACAAAAATAGCTCTGACGTAGAGTCAGTCCCAGCTCTGTACCAGGCGTGGAGCGGGAGACCCAAGGTTGAGAAGCAGCCCTGGCCAGAAGTTCCTGAAACAATGGCCAATATGAGAGAGAAAAGATCAGTGCCGGGGTGGGGGAATAATAGTGAAAAAGTTACACGTGACACGTAACTTATAGATCAGTCATAACAGCAGTCCTTTGTATACACTTAGATACCTGCAGTTTTTACAAAACATTTTCGTATTTCCGACCTGATGTATTAGTATTTTTTTAAAAGATTTTTTATTTACTTATTTGACAGAGACACACAGAGAAAGGGAACACGAGTAGGGGGAGCGGGACAGGGAGAAGCAGGCTTCCCACTGAGCAGGGAGCCCAATGAGGGGCTCGATCCCAGGACCCTGGAATCATGATCCAAGCCAAAGGCAGATGCTTAATGACTGAGCCACCCAGGCACCCTTGATGTATTATTAAGAAGGATGAATTATTGTGCTGATTTTTCAGAAGAGAACATTGATGTTTTCTTAACCAAACAGGGTCCTCTCTCGTCTTTTGATTTCTAAATCCACTACTCCCGCTCTCCTCACAACACCCTCAGACCAAAGAGTGTGAGGATGTTGGCCATTTAAACACCAGGTGGGCCAAGGATTCAAAGAGCTTTGAACTCAGGAGGAAAGCTTTGGACTTGACTTTGGATTCGGCAGAGAGACATGGTTTCTTGATGGATATGATGAAAAGTTTGTGGAATATGATGCATCCGGGACGGAGTTCCACTCTGCCGCTTACCAGCTATGGGTATCTTGGTGGGGTTACCACTCTCTGCCTCACTTTCATTTTTGTGAAATGGGGATAATAGTACCTCCTCACAGAGTTGTGGAGATTCACTGAGATGCTGCGTGAAGTGTACCAGCGTTGTACCGGGCATGGCACAGGGCGCAGTGTACGTTGGAATGTTGGCTACTGTCTTACTCTGCTCAGAATGCCATAAGAACAAAACATAGACTAGGGGACTCCAGCAACAGAAGTTTATTTTCTCCTGGTCCCAGTTCAAGGTCTGGCATGCTCAGTTTCTGGTGAGAGCTCTCCTCCTGGCATGTGGACAGTTGCCCTCTCACTGTAACTGCACATGGCCTTTTCTCTGTGCATGTGCGCACACACACATGCACACACACATGCACACACACACACAGAGACCAGTATCTCTGCTGCCTCTTCTTAGGAGCACACTGATCCCATAGGATACAGGTCAGTAAGACCTCACTTGTTTCCTCATTTAATACAAATACAGCTACGCCAAGGGGTTGGGGCTTCAACATGTCAGTTTCTGGGGAGACGCATACATTCAGTCATCACAGCTTTTACTATCATCATTATTTTCCTTATCCATACTTATAAAATGAGTGGGGTGATAGATAATTGCACAAAAAGATCAAGGTGTGAGAGGTTAGAGTCAGAGCAAAGGCCACTACAGAGAAGCCAGTAGGAAGGAAGAGGAAGACAAAGTTCCGGAAGTAAGGGACTTGTTCATTGCACTGGTGGTGTTAAGAACCTACTGGAAGCCAGGCCTCGTTCCATGTCCTGGAGACCCAAGGATTATGAGCGTGGAGTCAGGAGAATGAGAGCTCTGCACAAGCCGTGCGGGGAGCCTGAAAGGTCCTGGGAGAGCCAAGAACACCTACCAAAGAGCCAGCACGTGAGTGCCAGGGTGGAATGCAAGGAAACCACCAACAGAGGTCGTTTCTAGCCCTGCGTGGCCAAAGACAAGAAGACAAAATGGACCAAAATGGGGGATTCAGGAAGTAGGGTTGGGAAAGGAAAGGGAGATCTCCCGACAACACAGAGGAATCGCTGGGTTCCTTCTTAGCGGAGAACATCCTTCAGGGTGGCAAAGACCACAGAAGAATATAAACACTGCATTATTTCCTGTAATGAAATAATGTTCTAAGTCATATCTCCAGATACCTCCCTTATCTGGAAGTGGGAAGATGACTAACTCTCTCTGTCAAGGCATTACTGAAACAATGCTGGTTTTCTAAGAGAATAATTGGATTTATGCAATAGCATCACAAAGCCCTGGGTGCTCCCCTCCCTTCCAGGCAACACACAGTGGGGAGGAGCCGAGGCTGTAGGAGCCAGGAACCCAGACTCCCAGCCAAGCACCTGTGCTGAGAAAAGCTCATATAAAAGGTGGTCTCTGGCAGCTGGCTTCTGGTTGCACGGGGACTAGAGCCTGTCCATTTGCTTAAAGAAACAAGATCTTCAGTGCAGGTAAATTTCTTTAGCTTCAAGGGTGGGATCGGTTTACCCCAGAGCCCCTGTGGGCCGCTGGAGTGTTTGGGTTCAGATGATGAGAAAGAGATAGTTGCCTCTCCTGGTTTGAACATTGCAGGTCAGAGTGTATATGGAAAGAGCCCTGGAGTCTGGAGACCGGAATTTTGTTCTCAACTCTGCAGTCCCTAATTGGAGTGATTTTAAGGAACAGATTTCTGGCCCTTTGGCCTCAGTCTCATCATTAAAATCAGGGGTTCTTTGGGCCTAGGGGAGCTCTGAGTTTCCTCCAGCTTTGATTGTTATCAGTGGTTATTTTGTGGAGTGACTGATGTCCCTAGGTGCTGTCATTTCCCAGTGCTCAGGCCATTCCAGGGTTTTTCTGAGCCTTCTTGATTTTAGAAGGGGTCTGGAGGTAGCTGGTTCTTGTCTGGAGCCTTTTGTGGGATCCTGATGTTCTGGGAGGTAGGCTGTTCTCTGGGTGCTGATAGACGGTGAGGCTGTTTTGGCTTCTGTGAAATCAGATGAGAAAACACCAGTGATGATGCTCACATTCTGTTAGAGGCAAATCG